TGCAGCAGCCGGGCCAGGCGGTCGATGCAGTTCCCCACGGCCACGTCCAGGGTCTCCCCCAGGATCCGGTACCGGCGCCGCGAGTACGAGATCACCTGGGGGCAATTAATTACCCAAAATCCTCGTTAGTGACCCCAAACCCCCGGTAATTACCCCCAAAGTCTCATTCATTACACCCAAATCTCATTCATTACCCCCAAAACTCATTTATTGCCCCAAAAACCTCATTGATTACCTCCCAAAACCTCACTAATTGCCCCCAAACCCTCACTAATTACCCAAAAATCTCGTTAATTGCCCCCAATCAATTGATATCAATCTCATATCATCCGATATCACCCAATATCACTGAAAATCACCCCAAAACCACCTGGGATCATCCTGATATCACCCCAAAACCACCTGGTGGCAACCTGATATCCCCCGGTGTCACCTGATGTCACCTGGAATCACCCCAAAACGACCCCAAAATCACCTGATATCACCCCGATATCCCCCAGTGTCACCCCAAAACCGCCCGGGATAACCCCAAACCCCCCCCCACCCCCCCGAGCCCCCACCTGTGTGTTGCCCCCGCTGACGTAGAGCACGGCGGGGTCGGGGGCGGCCCCGAGCAGCCGCCCCATCTCGATGTGCCCCACGCAGTGGTTGACGGCGAGCAGGGGCAGCGCCCACAGCTGGGCCAGCGTGCGGGCCACCGTGGCCACCACGGCCAGCGGGGCACCCATGCCCGGGCCTGCCCGAAAACGGGGTCAGTGACCCCAAAAACGGGGTCAGTGACACCAAAACCACAATAACTGACCCCAAAATGATCCATGGGAACCCCCCAGACACCCCTGGGACCCCCCCAACCACCACCCAGCCACAGCTGGGCCAGCGTGTGGGCTACCGTGGTCACCACGGCCAGGGGGTGTTTCTGGGTTGGTTTTGGGGTGTTTTAGGGGTGTTTTGGGTCCCTCTCACCCACCTTTAGTGAAGGCCACCCCGTCCATCTCCCCGGGGGTGTTTTCAGGGCTGGTTTTGGGGTGTTTTAGGGGTGTTTTGGGTCCCTCTCACCCACCCTTGGTGAAGGCCACCCCGTCCCTCTCCCGGGGCTGTTTTTGGGGTGTTTTAGGGGGGTTTTTGGGTCCCTCTCACCCACCTTTAGTGAAGGCCACCCCGTCCCTCTCCCGGGGTTGGTTTTGGGGTGTTTTAGGGGTTTTTGGGTCCCTCTCACCCACCTTTGGTGAAGGCCACCCGTCCATCTCCCCGGGGGTGTTTTCAGGGTTGGTTTTGGGGTGTTTTAGGGGTGTTTTGGGTCCCTCTCACCCACCTTTGGTGAAGGCCACCCCGTCGAGCTCGGCCGGCCCCACTCCCGCGTCCCGGAGCGCGGCCCCGACCAGGCCGAGGAGCCGCTCGCGGTGGTGCCGCCCGGTGGGCCCGGGGGCGAACCCTGAGGGGGGGGACAGGGGGGCACAACGTGACGTCACACGGAGGGGGTCCCGCTCGCGTCACGCAAGAGGGAGGGGTGTGAAGGGGATCGTGACGTCACCGTGTCCCGGCGGGGTGACGTAGGTGGCGCGGCGGTTGCTGAGGACGGCGCCGTCCCGCACGACCCCCGCGCCCACCTTGTTGGCGGAGCCCTCCAGGCCCAGCACGGTCGGCATGACGTCACACGGCCCCCGGGAAAAAGAAAACGACGTCCCGGAGCTCCCGGGTCTTCCTCCCGCCGCTCCGCGCTCCTGCGCCGTGACGCCACTTCCGCCCTCCCCTCACGGCGGCTCCGCCTCCCTCCCCGTGTCACGTGACGCCGCCCCGTTTCCGCTTCCGGCCACGCCCCCTCCCCACGCGCTGCCCACCGGTTCCATTGAGTAGTTCCCGCGCGCGGGAAGCGCTCGCGCCGCTCGCGGCGGCCGCCGATTGGCTGAGAGGAGAGGAGGGGGGGCGCTGAGGTACGGCGGGCGCTGATTTGTTGCGAGAGCGGGAGGCGGGACTAACCGGGAGAGCGGCGGGCGCTGATTGGTTGAACGGTAAGGGGGGGGGAAATGACGTACGGCGGGCGCTGATTGGCTGAGGGAGGGGGTTGATTGACAGGCGGCGTGGGTGGGGGGGCGGGTTTAACCGGGAGAGCGGCGGGCGCTGATTGGCCCCGGTTCGGGCCTCGCGGCCGCTGATTGGCCCCGGTTCGGGCCCCCTCGGGCCCTGATTGGCTCCGGTTCGGGCCCACGTGTCGGCGGCGGGCGCTGATTGGCTGCTGGGGGCGGCGGGGGGGCGGGCCTGAGGCCCTGTGCGCGCTGTGATTGGCTCTCTGGCGCAGGGGGCGCGGCCTAAGCCGGAAAGGGGCGTGGTCTCGGTGATGCCGAAGCGCGGGAAAAAGGAGGAGGCGGCGAAGGACGGAGAGGGGGGTGAGTGACCAGCACGGACCAGTATAAACCAGTATAACCCCCTATAACCCGGTATAATCCAGTGCAACCCAGTACAACCCAGTATGGCCCAGTATAACCCAGTGCAATGCAGTATAACCCAATATGTCCCAGTATAACCCCATATAACTCAGTATGTCCCAGTATAACCAGATATAACCCAGTACAACCCAATATAACCCAGTACAACCCACTATAACCCAGTACAACCCAATATAACCCAGTACAACCCACTATAACCCAGTACAACCCAACACAACCCCGCAGGAGCCGCCCAGCCTGTCCCAGTGCCCCCACTGACCCCCCCGTTCCCCCCCAGTGCCCCCCAAGGTGCCCAAGGCCTCCCCCGCCCCCCAGTACGAGGACCCCCCGCTCCGGGAGGAGACCCCCGGGGGGCGGCGCTGGACCCTCAAGGTGACCTCGTGGAACGTCGACGGGCTGAGAGCCTGGGTCAAGAAAGGGGGGGCCCAGGTGGGACTGGGGGCACTGGGAGGGACTGGGGGGTCAAGAAAGGGGGACCCAGGTGGGACTGGGGGCACTGGGAGGGACTGGGAGGGACTGAGGGGTCAAGAAAGGGGGGCCCAGGTGGGACTGGGGGCACTGGGGGGCACTGGGAGGGAGGGGGGGGTGAAGAAGAGGAGGTCCAGGTGGGACTGAGGGCACTGGGATGGACTGGGAGGGGCTTGGGAAGGCATAGGGTGGGCCTGAGAGGGGAGGGACTGGGTGGGACTGGGGGGAGACGGGGAGGGACTGGAAGGTGTCTGGGGAGTCACCTGTGGGTCTATGGGGGGGGTCCCAGACCCGTTTTTCGGGATCCTGGACCCATTTTTTGGGGTCCTGGCCCCGTGTTTTGGGGTCCTGGCCCCGTGTTTTGGGGTCTCCGCCCTCACCCCGGGGTCTCTCCCCCCGCAGTGGGTGCAGGAGGAGGCCCCGGACGTTCTGTGCCTGCAGGAGACGAAATGTGCGGGTCCCTCCGTGCCCCCCGAGGTCCGGGGGCTGCCGGGGCTGCCCCACCAGTTCTGGGCCAGCGCCGAGGGGAAACCGGGATACAGCGGGGTGGGGCTGCTGGCCAAGACTGAGCCCCTCAAGGTCACCTATGGCATAGGTGAGACCCCAAAATACCCTGAAATACCCTGAAATATTCTGAAAATGGGAGACAGCGCCCCAAAATACCCCCTGGCTACAGAGGGGTGGGGCTGCTGGCCAAGACTGAGCCCCTCAAGGTCACCTATGGCATAGGTGAGGCCCCAGAATAACCCCAATATGTGCTAAAATAACACCAGATATCCAAAAACGGGGATAAACTGCTCCAAAACGGGGATAAAGTGACCCAAAATGTGGATAAATCCCCTCCCAGTCTGTCCCAGTCCCTCCCACTCTGCCCCAGTCTCTCCCAGTCCCTCCCAGTCTATCCCAGTCCCCCCCAGCCCCCCCTAACCCCCGTTTTACCCCCCTCAGGAGCCCCCGAGCACGACTCGGAGGGCCGGGTGATCAGTTCCCAATCCCCTCCCAGTCCCTCCCAGTCTATCCCAGTACCCCCCAGCCCCCCCTAACCCCCGTGTTACCCCCCCTCAGGAGCCCCCGAGCACGACTCGGAGGGGCCCGGGTGATCAGGTCCCAATCCCCTTCCCAGTCCACCCTCCCACTTCGGCCCCAGTCCCCTCCATCTGTCCCAATCCCCCCACAGTGCCCGCCAGCCCCCCCCTAACCCACCCCCTGTTTACCAGACCCCCAGGAGCCACCGACACGACTCGGAGGGCCGGGTGATCAGTTCCCAATCCCCTCCCAGTCCCTCCCAGTCTATCCCAGTACCCCCCAGCCCCCCCTAACCCCCGTGTTACCCCCCAGGAGCCCCCGAGCACGACTCGGAGGGCCGGGTGATCACGGCCGAGTTCCCGTCTCTCTTCGTGGTCAGCGCCTACGTGCCCAACGCGGGGCGGGGCCTGGTGCGCCTGGAGCCGCGGCTGCGCTGGGACTCGGCCTTCCTGGAGTTCCTGCGGGGCCTGGACGCCCAGAAACCCGTCCTGCTCTGCGGGGACCTCAACGTGGCGCACCAGGAGATCGACCTGTGCCACCCCGGCTCCAACCGCGCCAGCGCCGGCTTCACGCCGCAGGAGCGCGAGGGCTTCTCGCGCCTGCTGGGCGCCGGCTTCGTCGACTCCTTCCGCCGCCTGTACCCCGAGGCGCGCGGCGCCTACACCTTCTGGACCTACCTGGGCGGCGCCCGCGCCCGCAACGTGGGCTGGCGCCTCGACTACTTCGTGCTGTCCCGGCGCCTGGCGGACGACGCCCTGTGCGACAGCAAGATCCGCAGCGCCGTGCCCGGGAGTGACCACTGCCCCATCACCGCCTACCTGGCCATGTAGGGCCGTGCCCGGGAGTGACCACTGCCCCATCACCGCCTACCTGGCCATGTAGGGAGTGACCACTGCCCCATCACCGCCTACCTGGCCATGTAGGGAGTGACCACTGCCCCATCACCGCCTACCTGGCCATGTAGGGAGTGACCACTGCCCCATCACTGCCTACCTGGCCATGTAGGGCCGTGCCCGGGAGTGACCACTGCCCCATCACCACCTACCTGGCCATGTAGGGCCGGTGCCGGGGGTGGGCTGGGAGTGGGGCAGGGTGGGCTCCAAGGGGGAGAAAGGCGGCTTAGACGGCACCGGATCGGCTCCAAACGGCCAGAAAGTGGCTTAAATGGCACCAGATTGGCTCCAAATGGCACCAGATTGGCTTGAACTGCACCAAATTGGCTCCAAACAGCCCTAAATTGATTCAAAATGGCCCCAAATTGGCTTAAATGGCACCAGATTGGCTCAAAATGGGCCCAAATTGCATCCAAATGGCATCAAATTGGCTTAAAAGGCCCCAAATTTGGTTAAACAGTCCCAAATTGGTTTAAATCAGATTGGCTCCAAAGGGCCCCAAATCCCCTCAGAATGGCGTAAAAACTGGCTTAAAACAGCCTGGAAAACGTGCTCAAAACGGGCCAAAATCTGCATGAAATGGCCCAAATCGGCTCAAAGCAGCCCAAAATCAGCCCAAATTGGCCTTCAGTTCCCCCCAGTGGCCCCAAATCTGCCCAATCTCAGCCTGGAGCCACCCAGAGTTGGGCTTTGATGACGTCACCGGCTCCTTTAGCCTCCGATTTGCCCCAAAACGGCCCCAAACTGGGGCCAAATCCCCCCCCTCAGGCCCCTCCCCCATCCCGCAGGCCCCTCCCCCACCCCACAGACCCCTCCCCTGCCCCGATATATTTTAATAAAGCTCAATTTTGGGGGCAAATCCAGCGATATCGGGTTTATTTACACGTGAGGCCCCGCCCCCCCCCAGGGGAGGTTAATTAATGGGGCTGTTAATTAAATAATAATAATAATAATATACAGGGGGGCGTGGGGAGGGGTGGGGCTTATGTACAAGGGGGCGTGGCTTTGGGCATGCAGGGAGGGGCCATGCTGGGGGAAACAAGGGGGCGTGGCACAATTTTGGGAAGGTTGAAAGGGGGCAGGGCCAAAGAAGGGTCACCTGCCCCAGGTGTCGGGGTGGGCGTGTCCCCAAAGGGGGGGCGTGTCCGACAAAAAGTGGGCGTGTCCCACCAGCTCCAGGCGCGTCCGAGGCGTGCGTTGGGGGCGTGGCCTCCCCCGGTGGGCGTGTCCGCGGGTGGGGCGGGCGTGGTCAGGCGCGAGGGGGGAGGGGCTGGCTGACCCTCACGCAGCCCCAATAGGCCGCGCGGAGCAGACACGCCCCCGCCCCCGCCCCCAGCGCCGCCCAGGCCGCCGGGACCCACCGCGCCCGACGCCAGAGCCACCACGTACCGGCCTGATGGCAACAAAACCCGGCCTAAATCCCAGTTAAACCCGGCCTAAGTCCCAGTTAAACCCGAGCTAAATCCCAGTTAAACCCGACCAAAATCCCAGTTAAACCCGGCCTAAACCCTGCCCACCACGCCCAGCGCCAGAGGCACCATTGGACCCCTCCCTTTAGGCCACGCCCTCTCCCATCCCCTCCCCTTCAGACCACACGCCCCCCAGGCCCCTCCCCTTTAGGCCCCGCCCCTCACCGCGAGCCCCGCGGCGGCCCCGCCCATCAGCAGCGCCCCCAGGAGGCAGCACAGGCAGCGTCGCCGTGGGAACCGCCGCCCAATCGCAGACCTGCGTCCAACAAAGGGGGCGTGGTCATGTCCCCGGGGGGGGCTTGCCCACAACAGGAGGGGGGGCGGGGTCACACAGAGACCACGCCCCCAAGAGGGGTGGGGTCACTTACACCTTGCGGCAATGGGGGCATCGGGCCAGGGAGCGGTCAGGGAGCTCCGCCCACTGTGGAGAGGGGTGGTGCTTAGAAGGGTGTGGTCGCAGGGGAGGGGCTTAGAGGGGTGTGGCTGCAGGGGAGGGGTTTAGAGGGGTGTGACTGCAGGGGAGGGGCTTAGAGGGGTGTGGTCAGACATTTAGATGGGTGGGGTGGGGCTTAGATGGGTGTGGTTATTGGGGTGGGGGTTGGAGGGGTGCAGTCATTGGGGGCGGGGCTTAGAGGGGTGTGGTTGAGACAGGGTGGGGTTTAGAGGGGTGTGACCAGGAGGGGGTGGGGTTTAGAGGGGTGTGGTCATTAGGGGGGTTCAAAGGGGCATAATCGGGGGTGGGGTTTATAGGGGTGTGGTCAGAGGAGGTGGGGTTTAGAGGGGTGTGGCCGGGTGTGGCCGGGGTTTGAGTGGGTGTGACCGGGGGGATCGGGGCTCACCAGGAAGGGCCCCCCGCAGTGGGCACAGGCCACGCGAACCCCCCCCGGGGGCGGGTCGGGGCTGGGGGCCCCCGAGTGCACCGGGCCAAGGTTGATGATGCGTTTACTGGGGAGAGGGAACTGGGTTAGACTGGGGGAGACTGGGAGGGGATTGGTGATCCCAGTGAGGAGCGATGGCCCCGCCCAGTGCTCCCAGTATGGCCCGGGGACCCTTCTCAGTGCTCCCGGTATGGCCCAAGGACCCTCAAAATGTTCCCAGTACAGCCCAATGACCCCTCCTAGTGGTCCCAGTATGGCCCAGAGACCCTTCCTAGTGCTCCCAGTATGGCCCAGTGACCCCTTCAAGTGATCCCAGTATGGCCCAGCAACCCTGCCCAGTGCTCCCAGTATGGCACGGTGACACCTCCCAGTGCTCTCAGTATGGCCCAATGACCACTCCTAGTGATCCCAGTATGGCCCAGTGACCCTTCCCAGTGCTCCCAGTATGACCACTCCTAGTGATCCCAGTATGGCCCAGTGACCTCTCCCAGTGCTCCCAGTATGGCCCAGGGACACCCAAAATGATCCCAGTATGGCCCAGTGGCCCCCCAAAGTGACCCCCAGTGCTCCCAGTGTGGCCCAGTGCACCCTCCCAGTGCCTCCCACGCCCCTCCCAGTGCTCCCAGTCTGACCAGTAAGGCCGTGGGCAGGCGATGCGCTGGGCCGAGGCCCTGCACACCAACAGGCAGTTGCAGGGGCACCGCACGTATTTCTTCCCGCCGGGGGCTGTGCGGATTGGCTGAGGGGGGTGGGCGCGAAATTTTGGGAGGGGGCGTGGCCTCAGGGCAGGGCCCTGCCCCCTAAAACCCCACCACCCATTTTAGCCCCGCCCCTTAGCTCCAGCCCACTTTAGCCCCACCCATTCCCAGAGAGAAGGTTCCATTGTAAGCCCCGTCCCCTTAGGCCACACCCATCGCACCCAAGTCCCGCCCCCTCCAAAACCCCACCCCACCAGACCAGCCATTGAGCCACCCCCCTTAGGCCCCGCCCCTTTAGGCCCCGCCCCTCTAGACCCCCTTTGTCCCACCCCCTTAAGGCCACACCCTTTTAGACCCTGCTGGTCCCACCCCCTTTGTTCTCTCGCCCTTCAAGCCCCGCCCCCACAACCCCATTTACTGCCCCCTTTAGGCCCCGCCCCTCGAAGTCCCTCCCACACCCAACCACACCCTCTTCCCGCCACTTTGGCCCCTCCCCTTCCCTCCCGCTCTGACCACGCCCCCCTTCCGACCCCGCCCGCCCCCTCCAGGCCCCGCTCCCTCACCGTGGCCTCCCCGCACCCCCCGCACTTCACCACGTGCTGGTGCGTTTTGCCCTCGACGCTGATGGGCCGCTGGCACACCCGGCACGTGACGGCGGGCGGACCCGCCCCGCCGGCCCCTCCCGCTGCCCCCCCGGCCCCCGGAGCCGCCCCCTCCTCGGGGCTGCCCAGCGGCGAGTACGGGGGCGGGGCCTCCCCGCCAGCACCTGGAAGGAGAGGGGGGAAAGAAGGGGATGGGTCGCTCAGCCGCGCCCCCCCACAACGACCACACCCCCACCCCCCACCCCACCCCTTCCCCGAACCTCACCGGCGGCGGCCCCGCCCGGGCCCGGCCCCGCCTCGGGCGGCAGCAGCGGCGACCGCTCCCCGTCCGCCATGACAGCGCCGAGGCCGCGCCCCCCGCCTCGCCGGCGATTGGCCCGCCCCGCCAGCGTGACCGCGGGCACCGCCCCTTCCCGTCTCCTATTGGCTCCCTCGCGGAGTCACGTGACGTCCCTTTCTGCGTTGCCAGGCAACGCCCCGCACTAGCCTTTCCGGGTTCCGCCTTCGCGCGCTCCCATTGGCCCCGAGCTCCTCACGTGTTGGCCCTGGCCGTTGCCAGGCAACTCCCCGCATCGCTTTCCGGGTTCCTTCACGTCCTCCCATTGGCCCCGCGGGCCTCACGTGACGCCCTTCTTTAGCGTTACCAGGCAACTGCCCGCACACCCCCTGCCCCTCTTCCGGGTTCCTCCTCCCGCTCCCATTTGCCCGTGGGCTGTCACGTGATTTCTCCCAAACACCCCCTCTTTCCGCGTTCATCCCGCCCTCACCTCCATCCGCGCTCCGATTGGCCGGCGCACCCGTCCTCCTTCCGCTCTGGTTGGTCACTGCTCCCGCCACTCAATCCCCATCCCTCCGAGCCTCGCCCGCGGCGGTTTCCATGGTGACGCTGCGGGGACAGG